GAATCAACATTCAAAGCTTCAGTAAAAATCAGTAAATCCATATTCTTGCCACTTAAGCTTTTTAGAATTTTCCGATGTGAACCAAGGCACCCTGTATTATGTTGTTATTTGATTTTTGATCCTTAAAGGGATACAACTTTAAATTAAAAAAAAAAAATTCTTCACAGTATTTCAGTGCATTTGAAAGTTTAGAATCTCATTTTTACTGGTCATTGAAAATATGAATTATATGATGTGAAATAGTTATCTTCTTTGGGCTTATTCTACAGAACAGCAGTAAAGGCTGAAGGGGAGAGACATAAAGACTATGATGGTCCCAAAGGGGGTTTTCTGTCTCACGTTCCTGTTAATCTGTGGCAGCAAACAGCCTTTGCTAGATTCCCTGCTATCCTCCTTGATATTTTTAAATGATGCTGAAGCTCCATAGGGTTAGGTACTCCCAGTCTCTTTTACAAGAACAAAGACCAAACCAGATGGCTCTCACCTGCTGTTCCTCGTTGACAGGCACAGCTTAAAATATTTCCATGTAATATACTGGCCATATGTTTTCATGTATTGTCCATGAAAACAATTATCTTTTGTGCGTGGAGAGATGCCTGATTTATTTTAAACCGTTGAAGTAAACGCTCTGGTCCACTTCCTTCTTGTTTTTTTTTTTTCTTTGCAGATGTTATGTATAACGGAGAAATGAATGAAAAAATAAAGTTACTATATAAGCTGCATATCCCACCAGGTAAGAAATCTAAACGGGAATGAATACCTCAGTTTCCCCAAAAATCTCTTGCTTAAAGCTTTTGGGAAAAGGCTGCTTAATGAAGAACCCTATCTTGCTTCCTTCAGCTGGGAGCATATACGATGTGCATTTGTAGTTATGCTCAACGTGTTTTAAAAATTACTCCTGTCAAAACCTTTTTGGACGAAATTTATAGATATACAACGTCAAGGCTCACAGCTGCTGCAGTCAGAGATCTTTTGCAGCCAATCATATGGTTACTTCTAGACAAAATATGAACTGAAATAACATTTTTGGATGGCTCGTACTCTGTGTAAAGTAGAAATCTCCTTATCACATCTTGATCTGGTTTCGATCAGGTGACAAAACTTTGTGGTAGTTTCTCTGTGCAAAGTTTTTAATTAAATGTGCCATTCTCAGCAAACTCCCGACTCTCTCACTGCAGCACCAGTCTTACTTACATTAACGTAATTTTATAGTATGATTTAATGAAGTACTATTTAAAAACATCTTTGCCCAATTATTTTGCTTTCCTCAAATACGTAAAATTCAAAAGCATAAATAACCATTATGTAGCATTTGAAGGATTAAGCATTACATTTGTCACTTTTGGTTTTGATAGCTCTCACGGAAAACGAACGAGACAGCCAGTCACCATTAAAGAATCCTTTGCTGTCGACTTCAAGACCACTAGTCATTGGAAAATCAAATGGTATGTCCAAAATGGTTCTCTAGTGAGTGTGCATATGAGATAACCAACTTTGCATTTGTTAACCCTACTCTTATTTCTCTGACGTTTATTTTGAAATGTCAGTTTACTCCAATGACTTGAAAACCAATTCTTTTTGTTTCTGCTCCAAAAAAGGTGATGCAGTAGATTACCAGAAGCAGTTGAAACAGATGCTGAAGGATCTAGCCAAAGAAAAGGATACTAAAATTGAAAAAGAATTGCCAAAAATGAGCCAGGTACGTACATCAGAGGCTGCAGTCTGTTTTCAAGGAAGTGGAGAGTACTCGAAAATGAAATGACTGAATACAACAGTTCAGCTCTTTCTGATAAAGTGTAACTTCAGCCTGAGCTTAGATTCAGTCCTTTAGGTATCAAGGATTGGGCTCCTGTGATCCAGGAAGCAGGTGTTTAAAAACTCTCAGCTACCTTTCTAGCAGCTCCCAATCCTCAGACTTGCCGGAGAATAGAAAGAATTTCAGACTCACTGTCACCTGCAGCATAACAGACTGGAAGACAGGCTCATGCAGGCTGGAAAAAGTCCTCCTCCTAAGCCCAAAGAATTCCCGAGAATGCATATTGCTATCCTGTCTTCCCTGACCTCCTCTCCACCAAACTGGTAACTTCTTTCTTAGTCCATCACCAACTGGGACTTACCCTGCCTTAGCTAAACACTGACTAGAACTGCATGACAGTTGAAGGCTCTCACCATCTTGCCATCTCCTCCCTGATGCCAGTAGAGCCTTGTGTGTGGTGTTGGCGTAAGGAAATCTACTGGAGGGAAAAAAGTCCTGCATTAGTAGAGCAAATGTGCGGACACGTGAAGAAAGATGGGTCTACACCCGGAGTCCCTTCTGTGCTGGTGTTGTTAAATAAAGTTTTCAATGCGTGGCATGTACCTAACCTGTTAGCTCAGCAGGGCCACGTAATCCCTTATAAAGGCGTCACTTGACTGAACATCCTGCAGTCCTTTCCACCCTGAATTAGCCATACTAGGACTGTACGAAACTTGAGGGCTCACAAATTTTGTAATAGGATATGGAAACATCCTCTCAAGCGTGATAAGCATCTGTGATGAGTGAGCAAGGGTAAAAAAGGAGAGAAAGGGACGAAGTCTAAATTTTATTAGTAGAAGAGGAACAGCTGGGAGAACATGGGAAAGAAACAGCAAAAGAGAAGTTGCTTGCAGGCCTGTGGATGGCTGATGGCTGTTGTGTTGTTAACTCAGTCTGTGTGACAGCCATCGGTTTCCCACTAGTCACAGATTGTATCTCTTGCCTGCATCTCACTTGCCTTTTGGTCATCTGGAAGGTCCTAATAGCCTTCATCAAGCAGCAAACTACTTTTCTGCTGTTCGCTTTTTGATTTGCAGCACCAAGGTTTCCTAGCACCAGTGGGGGCTGAAATCCCTTTGCTAGCCTTTTTTTAAAAGCAGGCACTAGTTATAGATGAAGATATAAACGTACAGAGCGTTCTGCCTTCCATTGCGGTGCTGTGCCCTCGCCTGACGCCTACAGTTACCCACAGCGTGGCTGTTCACTAGTTTGATTTTTGGTTTTTCATCCTCTACAGAGGGAGTTCATTCAGTTCTGCAAAACCTTGTACAGCATGTTTCACGAAGATCCAGAGGAGAATGATTTGTACCAAGCCATTGCCACTGTGACCACGCTGTTACTTCAGATTGGAGAAGTAGGACAAAGAAGCATCAGCCTGGGGAGCGGATCAGACGAGATCACTGAGGACTTGCAGCCCGAGGCCTCTGCTTCGGAGCAGGATGCTGTGTTTACTGACACTGTGAAGACCCCTCACAAAGACTCTCAGCCTTCACCTGTGACTGAAGGGGACTGGACTGTCTCTTTTGAACATATTTTAGCATCCCTTCTGACTGAACAGTCGTTGGTTAACTTCTTTGAAAGACCCTTAGAACTGAAGCCGAAACTTGAGAACGCAAAACTGAGTCAATATAGTCTCAAAACAAATGGCATGAACTGCCAGTCACGGGGTGAACATACAAAACTGAACGCACAGTAGCAACAAACCTGTCACAAATGAAATGAGTGGAGCATCTCCCTTATAAGGAAAGGCTGAGGGAACTGGTCTCTTTAGCTTGGAGGAGACTGAGGGGGGACCTCATTAATGTTTATAAATATGTAAAGGGTGACTGTCATGAGGATGGAGCCAGGCTCTTCTCAGTGGCATCCAATCATAGGACAAGGGGAAATGGATATAAGCTGGAACATAGGAGGTTCCACTTAAACATGAGGAAGAACTTCTTCCCAGTAAGGGTAACAGAACACTGGAACAGGCTGCCCAGAGAGGTTGTGGAGTCTCCTTCTCTGGAGATGTTCAAAACCCACCTGGACGCGTTCTTGTGTAATCTGATCTAGGTGGTCCTGCTCTCCAGCAGGGGATTGGACTAGATGATCCTTTGAGGTCCCTTCCAATCCCTAACATTCTGTGATTCTGTGTGATGCCAAAGCACATACTGTAAAAGGCTTTCGGTTAGCCGTGACTGGACTTCTGAGAAACAATCTGTTGGTCTGTGGTTTTCAGTTTAAGAGCTTTAAAAGCTAAAGGGTGTGTAGGTTTGTTTTGTGCCATTGATTTATTATGTTCTTGTTTTGAATGTAAAAGGAAACATCTGTCTACAGCGTGAAGACAGTGCAGCCCTCTTCCGTGCTGGGAGAGCAGAGGCTGGCTCCAGTTGTCTTTTTTTTTTTGAACAGGGGAAAACACTTCTCAGCTACTGTCCGCAGTTTGCTTGGGTTGCCTTTTTTGCACTAATACTGAAAACTGTTTCAATGCTGGTAATTGAAACTATTTTAATATATTTGATTGTATTCCAGTTTATATGTCTTGCTGAAATGCTAAGCGTACATGGACTGTGCTTCTGACGTTGGTCTGTGAAAACATGCACTTTTCAATAAACCCTTTTTATACTAGGCTTATATTTGACAGTATTTATTGATTTATGGAAGGTAAGTACCTTTAGTCCCTACTTCATTGAACAAATTACCTGAGCTAGTGCACTTAAAATTCAGTCGCTAGTGAGAAGCCCGTGTTCCAGTGTAGCGCACCGACCTGCTTGGGAGAAGCCTACTGATTCTGCCGAGGAGACTGTCAGGGACCAAATACATGGAGTTTACTTTACTTTATCCACAAGATATTACATATATGAAGTATTGATCTAACTGTTTTGCAGTTTGGGGTTTGTTTGTGGTTTTTCTTGTTTTTTTTTTTAAACAAACTTGGCCTTAACTTAAAATACCTGTGTAATGGCTCTTTACATGGATGGCAAAGTCCTAGTGTTCCTATGGGAATAGTGATGTTTGCATCTGCATCTCCTCCTTTTTCCTTTCATATCTAACAGAAGTCTACAGTATCTTTAACTAAGAAAATTACACCAATATGTTCAAGCCCAAGGAAAGCAAGATACTTTAACAGCTTGTCACCTGTTCAACTCAACACTTCATGGATGAGAGCTTGAAGAGACTGGACAATAAAATAAACACAACTTGGGATTAAACTTTCTTTTTATCCTTTTATTGTATGAAAATCCATTTAATTTTCATCCACATTGACTGTCTGTAGACCTGCAAAACAAGAAACTATATCACCATGTATGACTAGGACAATTCCCTTTATGTATACACAGGTCTTCACAAGAAAGTGCACCTAGTTTCAAAGCTAGTTTGCTGATCTACATCTGGAAGAGCAAACTATGTAAGCAAGTATTTCACCAAATGTTAAAACAAAAAACTGCACATTAAATCAATTCTGCAAATATGATACTTCTCAGATGACAAGCAGAAAAGGCTCAACCTGCTTGAGCTTTTGACCTCAGAGATTGTACTTTATATGGGAAAACAAGCCTTAAAACTACCCCAACAACTATGGCCAGTGTTTTTTGTTCTCTCAACATTTACATTATTATTTCACTAAATTCTCTGTTTACTTTTTAATGCTGATCAGGCAAGGTAGCATCCCTGTTCTCTACAGCAGAGCTAGTTCAGGCCAGCAGTTTGACCCCTTCAGCACACTTTTCCTCTGAGTTTTGCACTGCAGGAGCTGTCTCACTTTGCTACTTATTCAGAAAAACATGGCACAGAGGATTAAGAGACGGCATGCAACCTCACCTTTGAATGTTGTGACTGGTACATAGGTAACCAGTGTGTATAGCTTGTTTGGTGAATCTTCATCCTCATTGCGCTTTCTGGACAAACGCACACGGATACGGTAAGGAACATTCCTAAAATGAAGAGGACAGATTAATTTTCAGTAAAACATGTATTGAAACCTGCTAATTCATAGAAGAGAAAATGAAAGTTCTTTGCTCCATGATTACTACCCCTCCTCAAATTCTTAAGCTTTGCCTATTTTACAGAATCACAGAATGTTAGGGATTGGAAGGGACCTCAAAGGATCATCTAGTCCAATCCCCCTGCCGGAGCAGGACCACCTAGATCAGATCACACAAGAACGCATCCAGACGTGTTTTGAACATCTCCAGAGAAGGAGACTCCACAACCTCTCTGCGCAGCCTGTTCCAGTGTTCTGTTACCCTTACTAGGAAGAAGTTCTTCCTCATGTTTAAGTGGAACCTCCTATGTTCCAGCTTATATCCGTTTCCCCTTGTCCTATCATTGGATGCCACTGAGAAGAGCCTGGCTCCATCCTCATGACAGTCACCCTTTACATATTTATAAACATTAATAAGGTCCCCCCTCAGTCTCCTCCAAGCTAAAGAGACCAGCTCCCTCAGCCTTTCCTCATAAGGGAGATGCTCCACTCCCTTCATCATCTTTGTGGCCCTGCGCTGGACTCTCTCAAGCAGTTCCTTGTCCTTCTTGAACTGAGGGGCCCAGAACTGGACACAATATTCCAGATGCGGCCTCACCAGGGCAGAGTAGAGGGGGAGGAGAACCTCTCTCGACCTACTAACCACACCCCTTCTAATACAGCCCAGGATGCCATTGGCCTTCTTGGCCACAAGGGCACATTGCTGGCTCATGGTCATCCTGCTGTCCACCAGGACCCCCAGGTCCCTTTCCCCTGTGCTGTTCCCCAACAGTTCAGTCCCCAACTTGTACTGGTACATGGGGTTGTTCTCACCCAAATGCAAGACTCTACACTTGCCTTTATTGTATTTCATTAAATTTCTCCCTGCCCAACTCTCCAGCCTGTCCAGGTCTCTCTGAATGTCAGCACAGCCTTCAGGTGTGTCAGCCACTCCTCCCAGTTTAGTGTCATCAGCAAACTTGCTGACCATGCACTCTATTCCCTCATCCAAGTCATTGATGAATATGTTGAACAATACTGGTGCCAGTACCGACCCTCTATTTGTGCAAAGTCATGATGATTCAATTCTGTTTCGATCTCATAACAAGAGTGAAATCCTGTACCGTAACAGATTGTACTGTTTGCCTTAGAGGAGCTTTTTGTTTTGTTAAAGTGAGCAGGTAAGAATTAATTGAGTCTTGAATAAGACGAACCCGTAATCCAGTGGGAGCATAAAGTCAGAAGTGCACCGTCGGTCCGCTACTCATTCAGGACCCATACTATGAATATGATCATGAAGCACAGTGTGAATATCATCAGCAAGCAGCTGTTACTAACAAGCATTTCTTACTAGAATAGAAAACAGTGAGGAAAAAAAAGCAACAAACAACAGCCTGTTCTGAAAGCCAATGCTCAGTCAAGAATCAGAGTACTGCCCAATCCATTGGTCAGAGGTAATGCGGACATTCTAGTGAGCTTTAGACCTGAACCAAGACCTTATCCATGGGCATAAAGCTGATCAACATTTCTTCCTCAACAAGCCCATGGAACCACAACTAAATCACTTAAATGATTTTGTTTGTAATAGGCAAGTAACATCTTAGCATCCTCCCCTAACATTGCCCAAAATATGCTGCTGAGGGAAGGCACGAAGTTATTTGTCCACACCACTTTTCAAGTAAACTGCAATGAACAGGATTTTGGAAAACTCCTGTTCAGGAGTACTTTGCTCCACAGAATGTGAGAAGGAATTTCCTCCTTGCTGTATGTTCTCAGAGCATACTTAGTGAATCAGATGGATGCAGAAATTATGACACAGGAACTTGCTTCGATTTCCTCCCTTCTTGAAACAAGTCAACAGCATTTTTCACTACTTCAAGTAGGTCACTGACTGTTACAGTAGCTGTCATAGTGATTTTAGCCTCTCCTGATCCTTCCAGAGGAAGATATTTTACTTTGCATACATTATCCTATGCTAACTAGTGAAAACTGCAGTTAAACTCATGCTGGAAAGACACATGGATGACTCCTTGCTCCGCAGACTGCAATTCTACCAGTCAACAGAAGGAAGACTTGGTTAGTAGCCTCATTGCTAAGCTCTGAAGTTACGTTGTCACCTGGCTGAGTTGCTACTTCTTCATTGCACATGAACTGGAACCTCTCGACAGAATGCCCAGAAGACCCAGTAACTTAGTCCCATCTTCCCACTCTGTTTTTGAAGGAAAGGTTGGCCTAAGCACACAACTCCAGACAAAGGACTGTAAACATGTCATAGACTAGACTCAGGAATCTAATTCCTAGAAGATATGGTTTAAAACAAGGGTTCATGTGTATCCAGTGCATCACTCAGTATTAATCCCTACCAGTTAACCTTTTATTACAGTTTAAGACGTCCCACTCCTCACAGGAGTCCTTTCAGACCGTCTTCACACATGTCAAATGCCAAATCAGCTGCTTCTGTAGCAGTAGTTTAACAGAAGCTGTAATTTTTTGGCCCGTAAACTACTTAGTATTTGTACTTTCAGGACAAGATTAACGGCTCTATTTAAAACACACCTCATTATTTCCTTGTGTAGCATTTATCAAGTCAGCACACTTCAAAACCTAATCCTGTTCAGACACATTACACAAATCCCAGGTACCTAGCCTGGGACTGCAGGAATCACTAAAAAGCCCTGTCTCTAAAAACTGTCTGCTGCAGTAGGGATTGGGGTACCACAGTATTACAAGAGCCCAATCCTTTCTCTCCCCCCGCCCTCCATCCCCAAACCCACATTCCTTCTTCCCTTTGCTTTATTCTTATTAGAGGCAGCAGGAAGTTATTTCAATTCCAGAGTTTACCAAAGCTTTGCTACAAATACACTGAGGGAGCTGACCAGATCATACAGGTGACAACGATTACAGCTTGGCATGCACACTGTAAGAAAGGGAGCACTTGCAAAGAAAATGCAAATACTGCAAGAAGTACACAGATTTTTCTACCCCTCCACATATACAGTTACAAGGTTCTTCCTCACCCAATAAAGAAAGCTGCAGAATCGTACCTTATTCCTTTTGCCCAGACCGCTTTGTTCAGTCTGGTGTCAATGCGAACATCAGGAGTACCCATTTCCTTCATCGCAAATTTACGGATTTCCTTGAGAGCACGCGGTGCTCGTTTCTTGAAGCCCCTAGGACAAACACAAGAGCCATTTCTTTAACTTCAGGAAACTGTCAGTGTTGTACACTTGCTGCAGCACTCGACCACTGATGTCCTCCAAACATACAATGGCAAGGATCGTGTTCAACAGCAGTTCAATAGCTGCATTGTAGTATGACCAGACCTGTACTCTGGTAGACAGTTGCCAACCTCAATGTCTATGTCTAACAGAAACCACATACAGTTATGTACAATAGTTTCAGTAAAAATTTGCAACTGCAAGGTCTGCTGGATCTTAAGTTTTATTTCTAGCATGTTGATGTGAAAAATTCCTGCAATATTACTGAAGAGATGAAAGCTTTCACAGATACTCTAAACGAAAGGCCTATGAAAAAAGCAGTGCAATACAATGTTAATACAAACTTGACAGAACTGTTTAATATTGAAATAAACAGCAGAAGAACAAAACTGATGCTACTCCGCGTAACAGCTTCTGCTAAACAGTATTTGGGGGTTACTTTCTTCGTGTCATCATGACTGGACCACCACCAGAACTGTTTTCTTACAAGTATATAGTTTGTCTCATGCCTACTATCGGCAGATTCTACATGACTGGGCATTTGCACTGGAAATTACAGCTGCAGCACGAGGGCTTTGCCGTATTCCAGTACTTAAAGGGGGCCTACAAGAAAGCTGGAGAGGGGCTTTTTACAAGGCCGTGTAGTGATAGGACAAGGGGCAATGGATTTAAACTGAAAGAGGGCAGATTTAGATTGGACATAAGGAAGAAATTTTTCACTCAGAGGGTGGTGAGGCACTGGAACAGGTTGCCCAGAGATGTTGTATATGCCCCATCCCTGGAAGTGTTCAAGGCCAGGCTGGATGAAGCTTTGGGAAGCCTGGTGTAATGGAGGGTTTCCCTGCCCATGGCAGGGGGGTTGAAACTAGATGATCTTTGAGGTCCCTTCCAACTTTAACCATTCTATGATTATATTATACCCACACTGCGACATGCGACTGCAGTGTCAGTAAGGTCTAAGGTCTGACAGTGGGTTATACCCGGTATTCTTTCCACACTGCTGTTGATATTTAGTGCTAGAAATCGGAGATGGATGAGTGACTGCAAGCAAGAAGCAATAATCAAAAAATATTTCGTCCCTAGCGCTTCACATCTAAAGAGAAAAAGAGGATAACCCCAACTGAAAAGCGGACAGCAGGATCCCCAGCATTAATAGACTGAACTGTCATAAACAACCAACAGGCAAGGCCAGAACATCTTATTGCCATTTAAAAGTACCACTGCCGCCCATCCTCACCTCACCCATGGTGTTGTAACAGTCCACTGCCTCATTTCTCTCCTGCGTTCATTTCAGCAATTTCACCAATTGTTTTGATCCAGATAGTTTTCTACCACATGATGTAGCCATACACATACAAAGCGAATCCAAGGGAGATGCAGTTTCTCAACAAGTCCTCTCAAGCGCTCTACTACTACACGGTTGTATGAGATTCAACATTTTGCCAGGTAAAAGTTACTCTCACCTACACAGAACTAATACTGTTTAACTCAAGTCATACCCAATTTACACCTCATAGTTTAGCAATAAGCACGGAGCCAATCACTTGATTACAACAATATTTAATTTCTACAACTAACTACAGTTGGGCTAAATTTTAAACTTCAGTTGGGAAAGAATGATGACCTATGCACAGAGGTACACAGCTCTAACTTCAAGTGACGTCCAGGAACAATCACAAAAAAAAACCCAAGCTTGTTCCTGAAAGCCACCTGCAAGTACAGGACTGCAAAGGTGCGGAGCTGCTTCCTCGGGACACAACTAGCACAAGGGACTAAAATATCATGTCAGCAACGGTGCCGGTCAGGCCTGTTGTTCTCTGCCATTTAAAACACCCAGAACCCACTTCCGAACACCACTTTGCACACAGCCAACTTCATTTATAAAAGGAAGAACTTACACGCCATGGATCCGCTTGTGAATGTTGATGGTATATTCCCTAGTTACCACCTCATTGATGGCAGAGCGTCCCTTCTTCTTCTCGCCACCTTTCTTTGCAGGAGCCATTTGAGCAACGCTGAAAAGCATCCATGCATGTGTCAAACACACACCCAGCTTCCCTCAGGCTTCCTCCCGCCCC